TAATTGACAGCTTTTCTGTTGGTAGCCTATATATGAATGCTTACCTACTGTAGCCAGAAATGTGAGGCTCAAGAAGATTCACTAGGATTCTAATATTGGGGAGAAAAGGCCTTAATTTACCAATATAGCTATGTATAGATGTATATTCATGTATAAATCCTCTAAAAATAGTATATTTACTTTCAGAGAGGAGGGCTGAAATTTGTAGTAACAAAAGTGTAAATAACAAACATATCCAGGTGTATTATCTTGAACATGGGTAGAACTGCAGAGGCCAAGCATTAGAGGATGCATTGTATAGCCATGTTTTGTTAGCTCCAGTACGCCAGCTGACTAACCTTAAAAGCAGCCCATGGAGAGTCAGGATGGCTCATGTTAAAAAGCCAAAATATAATCAAAACAACTCTGAGGTACCACACCACACCTATCAGATAGATTGGCCAACACGATAAAACAGGAAAATGACAAATGTTGGAGAAGATGTGGGAAAATTGTTGGTGGAGTTGTGAAATGATCCAACCATTTTGGAGAGCCATTTGGTACTATGCCCAAAGAACTATAAAAATGTGCATACCCTTTGACCCAGCAATACCACTTCTAGGGCAGTATTCCAAAGAGATTATACAAATGGGAAAAGGACCCACATGTACAAAAATATTCATAGCAGCTCTTTTTGTGGTGGCAAAGAATTGGAAATTGAGGGAATGCCCATCCACTGGGGAACAGCTGAACAATGTGTGGTTTATGAATGTAATGGAATACTATTGTTCTATAAGAAATGATGAGCAGACTGACTTTAGAAAAACCTGGAAAGACTTGTATGGTCTGATGCTGAGTGAAGTGAGCAGAGCCAGAAGAACGTTGTACACAATAACAGCCACGTTGTGCAATGACTAATGTTGATAGACTTAGCTTTTCTTAGCAATGCAAGTGTCTAAGACATCTCCAAAGGTCTCACGATGGAAAATGTTATCCACATCCAAAGAAAGAACTATAGAGTTTGAATACAGATTGAAGAATACCATTTGGTTTTTTTTCTTATTTTGGTTTTCTCTTTCTTGTGGTTCTTCCTATTGGTTCTAATTCTTCCTTACAACATGATTAATGTGAAAATGTTTAATAGGAATGCATTATGTATAGCCTATATCAGATTGCATGCTGTCTTGGGGAATGAGGGGTGGGGAGGGTGGGGGAGAAAAATTTAAAACTCAAAAGCTCATGGAAGTGATGGTTGATAACTCAAAATAAATTAATTTAAAAAATGCCACAGCATCTAGGTTAAATAAAATAAAGTTCAAAAAAAACCGCCAAAACATTCTGACCAATCTTACTGTCATCAATTATGGGTAAATGTTTTACAAGTCTGTGTGGATGAAATAAATTACTTGGTAAGTTAATAATTAAAAGTACGTTAAGTAGGAAAAAACCCTTTCAAACAGTATTCATATATTGATTTTTCAGAGATACGCTGGAAACTCCCTATGCTGATTCACTGTGTTTCAAGTTAGTCATTCCCCTTTTTGTACATTCCCCTATTGGGCAAGCACTTCCCTAGTGACTCACTAGACCATGTGGTGTAGTACAATGCCAACACTGGATTTGGAATCAGATAATTTGGAATTAAATCCTAGCTCTGATATTTAATGTCTCCAGACACTATGCTTCCTTGTCTGTAAAATGACAGGTTGGACTAGATTTTTTAGATGCTTTCTGTGATCCTTTGGGCTTAGTAAAATACAGTTGTTGAATAGCATTTTGTTAACACTGATCGGTCTTGTTTAAAATACAGTGTGAATATATTTGTTTGGAGGCTGGGGGTGGTGATGCGCAACATTAAAGCATGAAGGGCTTGCCTCATAAAGTCATGGACAATTTTTGGGGGTCTAATGTACTAACCTGATCTTATTTCTGATCCTTTCTAGTATTTAATGGATCCCAATGAGCCTATTTTAGAAGCACTGGACAAGAACAGCTCAATGGAAAAGGATCGTTGGGATTCCTTATCTATTATTACCTGCACAGAAGAAAATCAAGCTGTCTTCAGCAGTAATTTAAGTGACAATACTTGTACGGATAACCAGCCAAGTACAAAAATTACCTAGAGCCAATAAACTGTGAGAATCACTGTCTAAACTTTATAGGAGGCCAGTTTCCATATTTCTGTCTACCACAGATGCTATATCTAAGTGGTTGGGGCAAGTTTTATTTTCTTTTTAACTGAGGATACCACTAAATATGCATTACTGGCATTCTTCCAGTGAACACTCAATTATAAAATATCTTCCTGGCCTAGAAAAAACAAGATGGACACTTCACAAATGTTCCCCAAAAAACACTAAGAGGATCTCCTAACCTACAGTACCTTAATTGAGAGGCAGCATAATAATAATGGAAAGAACTGCAGACTAGGAGCTGGATTTTGATTTCCAGTTGTACCACTATTTCACTGGGTGAAATATCTCTTCACCTCTCCCTGCCTCAGTTTCTTAATCTGTAAAATGGAGTTGAACTATAGAAGCTTCCAGGTTATTTCCCACCTCTAAAACTTCACTGGCTGGCACCCCTATGAAACTGTCAGTTTGATACTGGTCTTGGCCACGTTTCAGTTTTAAGAAAATGTTATGATTTAATCTTGTAAATAAATATTTGTTAACTACAAATTTTCTAAGCTAATACATTATATGGTTAAACCTTTTTTTAAAATAAATCCTGCAAAAAGTTATTGGGTTTTTTTATACTTTAAGTATTTCCATGGTTTCTGAAGTTTCAACTTTTTCTTCTGCTATATTCTTCAGTTTATCTACAAACATAATGCAGTTTCCTGTCTGGTGTCTAACAACTGACTTATTAAGTTTGTGAGCCAGTTCCTTGCAACTGGCGGATTTTCAGGTGGTGAATTTGCACTTTATATGAGTTCCACAACATTGTCTAGGATGTGTATCTAGACAAGCACTATGAAAATTATGAAATGCATTATGACAATATGGATGAAGTTCCTTGAGCATTCAAGTGATATTTACTTTTTACCAGGAAAGGATCAAGACTTTTATTCCATTCTTGTTCCTTTTTTAAATAAATCCTTTCTAATAACCATCTAACATACGGAAAATAGCTTCTAAAACTTTAATTACTGATTTGACTTATGAAAACTGGTTACAGAATTGCATGTTAATAAACATTAACCAAGTTGAAAGTGCCAGGCTCTTCATAGGTGAAATCAGGTATAGCCCTATTTAGTATTTATCTGAGAGTGACAGTCAAACTCAAGACAAAGATGTGAAGCAACTTGGAAAAGAATTATGCTAACAGGGGCAGCGCAATGGATAGAGCTCTGGCCTTGGAGTCGGGAGGACCTGAGCTCAAATTTGACCTCAGACACGTTGACACTTACTAGCTGTGCGACCCTGGGCAAGTAAGTTAACCCCAAGTGCCTCACCAAAGGAAAAAAAAATAGAATTCTGCTAACAATCAACCAATTAGTCTGTAACGTGCTTTTGGAAAGGGTGTCTGACCTTACGTCTGGCTTTTCTCTCTCTCCGCTTCCCCACCCTAACACCCTAGGCATCCACAAGAGAACTGCGGGAAGAGATATAAGCTTTTTAAGTACCCAACATTTAAGTGTAAATTGTTATTATGAACCTCAGGTTTTTTGGTTTTTTTTGATACCAGCTGGTGGGGAGGCAAAGCCAAGATGGCAGAGAAAAGGCAGTACTCCCTGAGCTCTCCTCAAGACCCCTCTGACCACTATTAAATAATATCATAAAACAATTCCTGGAGCAGCAGAACCCACAAAAGAACAGGATGAAATAATTTTCCAGCCTAAGACAGTTTAGAAGGCTGGCAGGAAAAGTCTGTCACACCTGTGTGAAAGTGGAGCACATGTTTTCAGACTTTTTCATTACATTATACTGTTTTCCCTTTTGTTCTTTTAAAAAAATGTACTTGTTATATGGCAGGGCCCTCTGAGAACAAGGGTTGGGGGGGGCACGAAGAATTCTAATGATGCAATTATGTAAAAAAATCAGTACTCATTATGATTCATGGTCTTTATTCGCCGGCAGAAGATAAACTTGTCTGATTTGTTATTTCTTGATATGCTACACCTTAAGCTCTGCCACAGAACACATGCAGCCCTTTCTTACATCTCTGACCCTCAAGATCGTGGGGTCCTCTGGGGTTTACTCAGCTCTGCTGTTCTACGTCCTACTCTACAGTCTTTCCTAAGGATAATAAAACGTAATGTAATTTGTGACTGCACACTGTAGTGCCTCGTTACATTGATTTAGCATCTTTCGGAAGCTTCCTAGTACATAATATACAGGTATGTAGTTTATGGTCCATCAGTTTATTAAGGACTTCCTCTGTATACAAAACAGGGTAGGGGAATACAAATCCATGGCTACAGCATGCTCCATTCCCCCTTAGCAGAAAGGAAACGACATCCACTACTAAAATCTATTACTTCACAGGGTTTGTTTGAAGATCAAATGAGAATATACTTTTTTCATATTACATATTTTGATAATTTTTGAATTCATAGAGAATTTGTGAAAAGGGCTTAGTATCATATTTTTTTAGAACAGCTAACCACCATATTAACACTTCCTAAATCCACAGATTCAGTAAGCCAAATTATCTTGCTCAAATGTGTGTAAATGCTCTGCACACCTTAAAGTGTTATATAAATGCCAGCTATTATGTAGGTATTACACGCTTTAAGATTTACAAAATGTTCTCTCTATATATACATATGTATATAATCTCCTTTGGGCAAAAGAATCTGATTCAGTAATTAAAATCTCTGAGATTATTAATGTGGTCCCCATTTTTTTATAAGAAAATAAGCACAAAGCAATTAATTATTTGTTCATATTCACAATACGGATTTTTCCCCCTATGTTTTCAGTAGAAAAAAGGATCCTAATTTTTAATGTTATTCTAGAGTGTTCTGGCAAAGCAATTTGCTGTAGAAATAACAACTCACCGAGAGGATGCCCAAATACTCCAGAAGTGCTGAGAACACATGCACTTTTTATTTGTTTTTATATAAGCTTCGTCTTTTAGCCACTTATTTGTTTAAATGACTAATAAAACAATTTTCAAAATACATTTTTGGTCACATAAATTTAACAAACCACCCTTAAAAGAAATATTTATTGTATTTAAAATAAGTTACAACCAAGGGGACATAAAAAGGGACTTCAAAGATGCTAGTTCTATGGTTTAAGAAAACAAAAAGGTTGCCAAGGTTTTTAAACAAAAGGACACAAACAGTAGTAAACAGCATTAAGTGTAGACAATAGCACAGCTGTCCACAATTTGCTTCATATTCTGTGCAAAGGAAACTCTCAGGAAAGATATTTTTAAAGCTGCATTTTAATGCTATTTGTTTTTAGAGTCTGTCTTAGAGACAAGAAAAATAATTTGTAAAACTAGGGAAAAATAAAGTACAACCAAAACCTATGTAACAAGTGAGAGTGCAATAGAAGATGGTGACAATATTCAAACAATTCCCTTGAGACTACACTGTGTATTTGTGCTTACTTAGCTAATACAACTCAATAAATTAGAGCTATGATTGTAATATAATACATGCCTGCAAAATTTTCTAAATGTACTTTACAACAGTTTACCCAAAGCTCAATGAATACATTAAAAGAGGGCCTTTCAGTCTTGCAAATAAGTGAATAGAACGCTTATTTCTTAAACGACATAGTGGCAGTACCCTTTTGAAAGGAAAACTTTATTTTTTAATGTTTTCCCCATACCTTCTATTACAGTAAAAGTATCTGTTGTACTACTCTGCGCTCTTAAATCTTGATTCTTTCAAGCCAATTTGCTTTAACATGAGCTTAAGCAATGCTGTCATATAATCTATAGATTGTAAAAAGAAAAGCACAATACACAGACTATTTTACTTGTATTTTCTAAGAATTATGCTGCCAAGTTTTGTGGTCATTTTACTTTAACCACATTAAATCTAAGCTAATTAGTTGTACACTACCCCATTTCAAAGTCTTGCCATTCAGAAACATTTTTTCTTCAAGAGTTATTTCCAAATTAGTCCTTTGGGTATTTAAAAAATCTTCATATACATTTATCTTCCACTTTAATGCAAGCAAGCATTAAAAAGAAAAAACCAAAACACGCTCATTTTCTTTGCCAAAACAAATACAACTTATTGAAATGTCCTTCCTAACTAACGGGTCAGTGCTGATTTCAGATATTCACCAATTTATTTTTGCACATCTTCAGTAGTTAGATACAGCATACACGAGCACTGTCAATAAGTTCTAAAGTGACATGATGCAACCTTGCTCAGAGAGCACAGATCAAGCCTTAGGTGTGCAAGAATAAAAACAGATATTTTCCACCATCTATAATAATATATACATCCATATATGTACATATTCACAATCTATTCAATGAAATAAAGGGTAGAAACTACATCAAAGTAGATACTGGCATAAAAGGAAAACAATTTGACAACATTTGATGTAAAACAATCCACTAGCAAAATGTAAATCAAATTGGGAGAGAAAATTTTATACATAAAGAATATAACAAAACAGTTTTTGATGCAATTAGTGATTTATCCCCATAACTCTTCTGTTCGTCCAAATTTGTAGATAAGGGTACTATAAAAACATGAAAAACATATGTTATACATAGTGAGAAAAACTTGGAACTACTTGTACATTACAACACATATCTATATATCAGCTAAGACATTATCTTTCATAACCCAGCTTCCTGAACTAGAAATGTCCAAACTGCTTTGAATGTTATTCTTAAAGCACAAATACATTATAATATTCTAATATGTAAGAGAAGTAGAGAATTTTTCAGTCATTATTTCTCTTTCAAATCCAACCATATCCAAAAAATTAGAGCCTAGGGTTTTCTTGTTACTAAAAACGACTTGCATTTACATATTCATTTATATACTATTTTGTAATTTACAGTTAAGCACTTTCCTCTAAACAACTCTGTGACATTAAAATTATTTAGTACCAATAACTTCACCAATTTATCTGAGTGCCTCACCCTCGTGTTTCATTAGATTAACTCTTTATTTTACCTTTCAATACCTGCTACTTGAAATTCATATTCAACTCTCAGCTAAAATATATTAAATAAAAATTCTACAACTATAGCTGCCACTTCCAGGTACTAACCAATACTATAAAAGCATATTCTTGGTCCTAAATTATAACTGAAGTTTAAACTGGTAGCAGGAGAGAGCTTCTGGAGAAAAGGGAGTTTTGTCATTTGGATTTCTATTGGTCAGGCTGGCCTACTAAACAGGAGGTACTTAAGTGCCTACTGATTAACTAATTGACGAGAGGGGAAAAGGACAAAGGACATGTTAAGCTGATAAGAGGAAAAATTAAAGATCTGAGTGGGACTCTGAACCACAAAGTAGTAACATGTAAACACCAGAGGAAACTGTTTTTTGAAAATAGGTCACAAGACCCGTGTGATCATCAACCTACACAAAATAATCCTTATAATAAAACTTCATGTTAACTGGTATAAAATAACTGAAACTATCAACTCACTAGCATTTTTTAAATGACAAGATCACACAGGATGGGAAGATCTTGTGCTGCCCAAAAATCTAACTCAAAAACTTCAGGAGTTACCTTCAAAGTTGTTATTTATCTAAATTATGATCATTAAGTGTCACAAAGCTTTACCTTTCCTATCCTGTTAGATTGTTAGGCAGTCTGGCTGTCAACAAAAGCCCTCTGGAAAATAGGTCTTAATTTACTGATACCAAAGTTTTGGGGTTTTTTTTAAACACAGCCCTCCTAGATGAGGGAGTTCTTGACTTGGGATCCATAAATTTCTGTTTTGTTTTGTTTTTAAGTATTTTGATCACTGTATTTCAAAAGAATTAGTTTCCTTTGTTATTCTATGTATTTTATTTTATGCATTTAAAAACATAACTCTTATAACGGGTTTAAGACAGAGGTTCCCAAATTTATTTGCCTACTGCCCCCTTTAAAAAAAAATTACTCAGTGCCCCCCTGGAAATCTTTAACCCTTTAACTTTTTTTAAAATCTGCAACGCTTTTAAAAGATGCATTTTAAATTCAATAATTTATTTTTTTAATATAAATTCATTTTTAGTTTTCAATATTCACTTCCACAAGTTTTTGAGTTCCAATAAATCTAATAATTTATTGTAAATTTATGGGGTCTTTCCTATATTATAACATTTTCACGATGCAATATTGCATCATGTAACTATAAATAAGTCGTTCCATGCACATGTTCTTGCCAACACATGCTGAACTTCCCAACAACGCACCTGCCAACACTTGCTTAAAACCTGTTGATGCATTTGACCACTGATCGGTCATAACTACATTTTGTGTGTTTATTTAGAAAATAATGTAATTACTGCTTTAACTTTAACTGTTATGCAACAGATCACACATGTGCGAATGGTTTTTCACAATTTTCTTCTCTTCTTTCCTTATGTTTCCACTGCCCCCTTATTTTTATTCAATGCCCCCCAATTGCACCAAGGCTACTACCACCGTCATCCCCAAACATTCCAGTGCCTTCTGGTATTGCCCACTTTGGGAACCTCTGAAGACATAAAAAAATTTAAGAACTCCTAAAGCTTGGAGGGGCTGCTGGAAAGGTAGGGACTGTTAACTCGTTAAGAGTGCTTACCTTCAGATTCCTAAGACAAACACTACCTAGGGAAATCTTATCTTTTTCCTCATTTTCAATTAGATCAAGCCAAACTTTCTAGTCCATAAAATATTTCATGGAGAAATGTCTCCGCCTTGTGGCCTTTTAGCGGACTACATCTAAAGGCGGTTAATGCCTTTCACCCATATTTAAACAGAACTAAGCCTCAAGTAGTTAACAGTTATCACAAGTTTATACCAAAGTGTTCCTCCTGGTGCACTATTAGAAGTTGCACCTCCTCGTCTTTTTTATTAAAAAGATACAATTCATAATTGTATATAGCCCATTTCTAACTGAACCCAATGAACTTATACTTAATACTTTTTATATTCTTTTTATAACATACTTATAAATAGAATGGAAAAGTGGTTAACTTACCTAAAAAATATAAGTGCATTTTGAAAAAATACAGCTAGTCCTGGATAAACATTAGTATCTGAAAAAATTTAAAATGTATGTCAAGAAAAAGTGACATCAACATACCAGTGCCAACCACAAATAGAACACATGTAACATACTAAGAAGAGAAGGTAAACAAAAGGAACCAAAAAGATACAATTTCATTGAATTATCTGAATTTTTAAAGCATTTATTTACTTTATACAAATAATATTTATAGAGTCTTTACTCTAAAAATGGATTTTTTTCCCCTAAAAAAAAGAAAAAAGAGAAACCATAATTCTTAATGTATATAAGCCATGACAAAAACAGAAGTGAACATATCATCTAGAACACTGGTTATGTCATGTGAGTTAAGGACACCTAGAGGCAGACAAGCATTCATTGCAAGGGGTTCACTAATCCATAAGCACATCAAACATTTTCATTCCATTATTATTTGCACAAAACAATAGCTACACTGATGTTAGAAAGGGGGAGAAGAGAAGTTTCTCATTCTCGAAGATTGGGAACCAATGACCTAAAGCAAAAATAGATAAGCTTTTTAATTTACTGCTCATTCAGCACAATTGTCATGGTACTGGTTGGATCAGAACTGCTTACTATGAAAAGCAAGAGGCACACACACACACATAACTGCTCTTGCTGCCCAAGATCAGCATAGAAACGTGGAATACTGTCAAAAACAAAAGCGGCTGAAAACTTTTAATAGATTGTCAACGATTTTGTTACTGTGTTTTTCTACAAAACTTCTGGAATACTATTACATGTCGTCATTAAATAGTGTGGAACAAGGAATACATCTCTTCACCTAACCTAGTATCTCAGAAAACAATAAGGATCAAGGAAGTCAGCAAAAAACGCCTCTCTGCTTAAGGAATGGCCCAGAATCTATGCACTCCTTAACACTAAGTCCTTCAGCTTATTTACTCTTACTTTAGACTTAATTTTTAAAAATATGGTTATCTGGTTTCCTAGCCCAAAATAGATTAGAAGAAGCAAATTTAAAAGGTCAGAGAAAAAAATACTCCAGGAAGTAGTAATGAATACTTGTCAGCAAAAATAGATGAAGTTGGACCCCTAGGAACAGAAAAATTATAAACAGACATTAAAAACTCAAAAAGGGCGTGACTCTGAGGCCATTTAGTGTGGGGTAAAAACAACTTTGCACACCTCAACAAGGCTCTCAAAATCATTAACAGACAATTGATAAAGAGGAATGAGTCATTAAGAATAGATTCAATTGTGTTTGGTAAATTCTTTTTTCAAGGAAGTTAACACACTTTAAAAGGGAAATACTTTGAAATTGTAAAAACTTCAGTGCATAAAGGGATAAAGATCTAGCTTATGTGGAAAAGTTATCCAGAATGACACAGAATCTCAGAGCAAAAAAGGAATGCAGAGGCCAAATAAATCTACCTGAACTGGAATCCTTGTACAACATTCCTGACAAATGATGATCCTCTTTGAAGACTTCTACTAATGGGAAATCCACTATATCAAAATGTCCAATATTAGTCTTACTCTCTGCAATTTCCACTTACTGGTCCTAGTTCTGAGAACAAATATTTTTATTTTTTATTTCTGGAGACTGGGGCTCTTTATCTCATCCAGACTAGAACTGCAGCAGCTACTCACAGACTTGATTCCACTAATCAGAACAGAAATTCTGAGCTGCTCCATTTCTAATCTGGGCTGGTTAAACCCTACTTTAGCCTGGGACAGACAGAGACACAGCAAGACAGACACAGAAAGACCCCACCCCCCCTTTTGGCCCTACTGCAGCTCTACATCTTGGGATTGAGATCCACTCCACTCTACCCCACCAGGAACAGAGTTGGTTATGTGCTACCACAACAGTTGAGAATAAATCTAAACCTTTTTCCACATGACAGCCCTTTAGATACTTGAAAACAGTTATTACATTTCCTTCTGAGTCTTCTGTTCTTTATTTTGTTCAGTCAATCTCACATTGCATAATCTCCAGTTCTCCTCACCACCCTGGTCTCACTCAGCTTACCAATAGGTAGGTAGCACAGTGGATATAGTGCTGAGCCTGGAGTCAGGAAGACAAGTTCAGAACCAGCCTCAGACATCTACTGTGTGATGCCGGGCAAATCATTTAAACTGTCTGCCTCAATTTTCTCATGTTTAAAATGGCACTTCCTCCCAGGGTTGTTGTGAGAATGAAATGAGATATTTGTAGAACACTTAGCACAGTGCTAAGGTATCATAGGCACTTAGTGTATTCTCCCTCTCTCCCTTCCTTCCTCCATACCCATTCTAATTCCTCGATGGTCCTTCTTCCCAATATAACACTCGGAATTTAACACAATATTCCAGGGCAGAGTATAAGAGAAATGTCATCTCCTTTGTTCTGAGCTCATTCTCCGAGAGTTCCAAAGAGGTGAAATATATTTATTTTGTATCACTGTTCAGTGTCATTGAATACTATGAACAATTTGTTGGCTTGTTGATTGGGAAAGCAGAAAAGAGAATAGTGGAAATGGCAGATTAAGTTCTAATCTGATAAGCAGTATCATACAGGTTTATATATATATATATTTTTTTAATTTTTATTTTTTGGGGATACTTGGTGTTAAGTGACTTGCTCAGGGTCACACAACTAGTGTTAAATGTTTGGTCTGAGGCCGGATTTGAACTCAGGTCCCCCTGACTTCAGGGCTGGCACTCTATCCACTGCGCCACCTAGCTGCCCCCAGGTTCATAAATTTAGAGCTAAAAGGGACCTTAAAAGGCAAACAGGTCCAACCCCCCTTGTTTTACAGATGAAGAAACTGTGGTACATAGCTGGTAAAGGATTTGAACTCCAAGTCCAGCAATCTATCCACAACACCACTGGAAAACTGCAATAAAGATTTTTGTAGAAAAGTAATTTTGAAACTATTTTCATGGTTGTCACAGGATGAAGAAACCAATTAAATTCTTTGTAGGCTTTAAACATAGCAAACTGAAGTCAAGAACACCAATTAATACATTATTTTCTAAAACCATGGAAATGCCCCCTAACAAAAATTATACTCATTCCACAAGGATAAATACTATATTAGTAATGTCCATATAAGCTCAGTGACAACCGGGATTTCACCCAACATGCATTAATTTCTTTATATTTAACTTTCATCTAATAAGCTAACTCACTTTACTAATATCAGTACTTCACCAAACCCAGTAGTAGACAAAAAAAAGAGAATTTTATTAGTATTGTGTTAAATGTAATGTTCACTTTTAAAAAAAAATCTATGCCTAAAGGGGATTTACAGTTTCACATACAATGTTACACTCTGTTCTTTGTATACTAAAATATCCCTATTTGCTGCCGTTTCTTAGATTCAAAATATAATCTCCTAATACGCAAAATGAGACATATTTTTGGACCTGACTACTATAGGAATTTGTTTTGTTTGACTATGCTTATTTACTAAAAGTTTTTTTCTTTTCCAGTGAAGAACGTGGGAGGGGAAAAAAAATAAAAGTTTGGTAACTGAAAGGAAAAAAAAACCCTTGATTTTAGAAAAGACCATTCTATACACCCTTTAGGAGTTACATAGCAATTTTCCTATTTCAGACAGAGAAATTGAGACAAAATTTAGTGCCATTCTCAAAGGAACTAGAACTTGTAAAAACAATTGGATTTCCAAAAAATTATCACACTACAAGTTTTTAAACTTAAGTACATATTTCCCTTTACACTAAATTTAAAACAAATTTTATATTAAGTGGTTAACAAATTAAGCCAAACTAAAGTTGATTACATTAACATTTTAAAAAAAGAACTAACTAGGAAGGAATAAACTTACTTTGAGTAACATATGCACCAAAAAGAATCCACATTGAAGCAATAAGCGAACCAAACATCAACATGAAACCAATGAAAAGCCAAACTCGAGCACCTGCAAAGATGACAGGATTTGTCATTTGGTTGATTTTCATGTGTTTTCTAGGATCTTGGAAATAACTTACACCTGGTACCACTTCAGCAACCCCAAACTCTGCTTTTCAGCATCATCACCTACCATTGTACACAGCTGAGAACTGCAAAAATATACAAAAAATTCTCTGCCAGCTCAAACAGCTGTCACAAAGCCATTATCTAATTTCCAGGGTATTAAAGATTAAAAGCAATAAATTAAATTGGGGATCAAAAGCTACTTCTAAGGTAGGCATGATTATAGCCAAGGAGGAGGTAGGAATTATAGAAAGCAGAAAGATTTTTGAAAGTACAGCAGATAGGGGCAGCTAGGTGGTGTAGTGGACGGAGCTCCGGCCTTGGAGTCAAGAGGACCCGAATTCAAATCCTGCCTAAGACACATAACACTAGCTGTGTGACCCTAGGCAAGTCACTTAACCCCAACTGCCTAACCAAAAAAAAAAAAAGATTTAAACAGAGAAGCTAAGCTTTTTAGAGCTCTTTTGTCCTACCAGGAAAAAAAAAAACCATAGCGCTGATTTAGGCAGCTGAAACAAGGCTGAATAAAATTCAAGCAAATGTTAACAAATTTTCAAAATCTCATCCCTCCCCCCCTTTCTACCCCAAATTCCCCAAACACCCTCACCAGAAAAGCAGAAAGAACAAAAATGAAAAATAAATGCCCAACTACCAAGACACTTCAACAATACTTTAAAGAACTGTAATTTTGATGATGACATTCTCTCAAATGATGTAACTCTTGAGTGCTCTCTAGTTTAGCACCTCTATTCAAGAGCAGCTGCAACCAGAAAGTCCCCTCACCCAGTGACCAATCCAGTGATAAGCCTCTCAGTTCAGCCAAGTTGTATCGCAAATGACAGATATTTATTTGGTCCATCAGCAAGTCCATATTCTAAGCCTTCATATCTTGGTAGATCCTTCCATAGCTTCAGAAACCTATGGTCATTTCCACACTGTGATGAGGCATCACAGTAAAGCTTTAGAAGATCCCCCAAAGTAAGTCACGTCAAAATAAAAACACAACAAAACATTTACACAAGAGCATAAATGAAAAAAAAAATCAGCCTAATTCAATGGTAGTTCCAGGATATTCAAAGATAATAGAGAGGAAAGACATCTGTTCAATTTAATCCACAGCCCTTTCAAAAACTGGGAATGTGATTATTGTTCATTATGGTAAAATTCCATTATGATGAAAGCATCAGATCCCTAGAGAAGTTTATTATAAAAATAATTTAATGTGGATTAAAAAATAATATTACTGAGTGAAAATTTAGATGTTTCCCCAAACAATCTATCAACAAGTACTTATCAAGCACCTATTATTTGGCAGGCACTGTGCTCAGTACTACATAGATACAGAAACAAAAAGGAAGTCCTTGCCTTCAAGAGCCTTATATTCTAAAGAGGAGATTAAAGTGCAAGTGTGTATGCGTGTGCATGCACATATATAAAAAGTAGGTGGCAGGTGAGAGAGAATTAGTATCTGGAGGGAAAGGCTTCATGTAGAAGGTGGCACTTGAGCTGAGTTTTGAAGAAAATGAGGGGTTCTAAAGAGACGTTACGTGAGGAAAGAGTCTGCTCCAGGCACAGAAGATATCAGTGTAAAGCTACAGAGCCCAGACATAAAATGCCATTTGTGAAGAATATCAAGAAAGCTAGTCTAGCTGAGACATGGCATGCAGGTATGGAAGTTATGTACAACCAAAAAACGCAGATTAAAAAATACGTACACCATTAGCACAAAGACACAAGAAAGATGGGTTGAATGTGTCATTCCTTGCACTCTCTTTATATATTATCAAAGCCTTTGGATAATTCACTCAGTTGATTAAAAAAAGTTATAGGCTCAATCTTCGAATATGCTAGTTACCAAACCCAGCTAAACAACCTACTCATGATGGTCACAAGAGGCAAAATTAGAAGATAAACACAAAAATCCACCTTCACTTCTAGAAAAACAAATCAATGCCTGAGTCCTACTAATTAATGTATCATATACACAAGACAGCACATTATCACAAAAACAAATTCCTCCAAAAACTTTCATCTTTCTAGAGTATTAAACCTAAGGCAAGACTGTAAAAAGCTGTAAAGATGTATTCTGGAATCCCATTTGTTAGTTCTGCATAAAGGACTGAGCTTTTGGAGTTCAAGGCATACTTCACCAGTTTTTATTAATTTATAGTATACCCAAGACCTACCCAAAATTGATTTTACCTACCTGTTCTTCCTAAACAGCCACTTTCATAGCTATCACCTCTCACTTGTGCATTTGACACAGCATTTATCCTAGAATACACATATGCACATAAAAAAAAAATTAACCATATGATCCAAAGGTTTCTGTTTTTAAAAATAAATTATCTTCAAATCACACATTTTCTTTGAATAACTGACCTGCTGCTTAACAAGAAAACAAGTAGGTAAATGAACAAACATTCTTGAAATCACAAGTATTCTGTGGCTTTATCTTTCCTAAAGGACATTCAGAATACACATACTTCTTAAATTTTTACCTACTGCTTGTTGATATGTCACGAATCAGGACTCAACTTCATTATATCACTGTCTCAAAAATTTTTCTGAATAATTTCTGGACTTCAGGAAGAAATTCAGATAGTAATATTACAGGAAAAAATGTTTTAGAACTGGAAATATGTATAAAAAACAGTCCCCCAACCCCCCAAAAAAACACACACACACAAAACAGGTCCACTATTCAGTTTGAAGGATAACCTTTCTTCCTACTTAAGAAGTTCTGGATCTAATGCTAAATACTAATAAAAATACCTTTTTATTTCTTTGGTTACTACTTCTTTTTGGAAAACTTCATAGTCTGAGTGTTTCTCATTTTCCAACATTAAAAAGCAAGCCATTATATTACTGATTCTAAGAAAAATATAATCTCAACTTTTAGAATTACCTTCATACTTACATGAAGAAAGCTAACGTGGAAAATACTCCACAAGTATGAAATGCATGGTTCATTTGTTCTGGTTTAGGATATACCACTGCTGCATCAATCATGATCCACCAACCTGTAAAAAACTTTAAAAAACAGCAAACATAACACTTAGCTATTAAATCCTGAGACTATTTCTAGTATTCCCTGGACTAGAATTAAGCCCAATGAATACAAAATATTTAGAATTTCTCTTAAACCACCACTAGCTCACTTTAAAAGTTTTTCATCAAAAGAAACTTTATAAAAAAAAATTATGCATATTATGTGACAAAATGATCTTGAAAATATTCCTTTTAGCAACGACCACTTGTTTTTAGCAGTTGGTACAGTCAGAATTTAATTATACCATAACTACTTAAAAATTCTTTTGAACCCTTGTTTAATTCTTATGGATTTTATAAGGTTTTCTGAATTAAGTTTGTTTCCATCTTGTTCCAAGTGCCATAATAATTTCTAAAACTAAATGATATTGGTAATTTCTGCTGTAGCATTATAGCTCTCAACACCTGTGATATAATATAAAACATGTAATCTCTAACTATCAAAAGACCTGAAAACAAGATATAAAAATTCCTCCTAAAAAAAAGTAAGAATGAGGCTCTCATGGATAAAATTCTAATTAACAGTATTACCTACTATGTATCAGTACTATGATAAATACTGGGGATACAAATACAAAAGTGAGGCACAGTCTGCCCTCAAGGAGTTTACATTCTACTGATGCATTCTAATGATGCTTCGATAATTTATTCTGATGAGGAAGACATATTTATCTAAAAAGAACAAATACAGTTCACCAAGTGCAGTCATTTGAGACATAGGAAAAGCTGAAAAGGGCATAAGTTGTTGAAAAAGACTACAAACACGGCAAACACGGCACATGATGTAAGAATCACTGCTAGCAATCAAGAAAGCTAAATCTCAATATGGAAGGGACGTTGAGAAATACCAAGCAATGTGCAGAACTTGTTTGGAATGGACAGGAAGACGATAATCAAAGGCAGAAAAAAACACAATTATTTAATTTTTCCACTGTTTTCCTTACTCAGTAAAATTAACTTTTCATCAAGAAAGAAAAGAATAAAAATGACTAGAAGGAAACAAATACCTAAGGTAAATAAGGACAGAGTAAGAGAGAACTTATTGAGTTGCTATTCTTAAAGATTTCAACTACAGCAATTGGAAGAGGTACACTAGAACCTGACAGAGAAACACATCCTAAAAAAATAGGAAGGTAGATATTTTAAACCACAGGAAGGTGATCCGGACGTCAGTTATTAGTAGTAACATTCTGAAATTATTAGCACTAAAATGAGGGAGCAGTTGTACTTAGAAGGGAAGTAACTGGCGCAGCTAGGTAGTGCAGTGGATACAGTACCAGCCCTGAAGTCAGGAGGACCTGAGTTCAAATCCAGCCTCAGACCAAACACTTGACACTTACTAGCTGTGTGACCCTGGGCAAGTCACTTAACCCCAATTGCCTTTAAAAAAAAAAAAAGGGAAGGAAAGTGATCACTAAAAGCCTGTAATAAGAACAAAATTATGCAGATCTTGGCCCCAGAGAAGAAATGAGTTAATAAACCTGTCTCCTTTAACTGGAAGGCTGGGAACTGTAAGCAGAAAATATCACATATATCCATCAGACTGGTTGTAAATGTTCTTCCCCCCCCTCGTTAGCAGAAAAGGCTCATGAGGGGTAGAGGTGTATCAAGAAATTACTGATACGCTGTAGTTCCTTAATTGATAAGTAAAGGGAATACCAAAGATACAGTTAATCTAAATTTCAGTAAATCATTTGAGCACACAATAATTTAGGTGAATTTGGAAGTAGCTGGAGGACTAGACCCAAACAATACTGAATAATGAATGAATGAATGAATGAATATGAACATACAGGTGGGTTCTCAAAGTGTAATTATTCCAGGACTCAACAATGACCCTATTCTATTCTGTCCATTTGTCAATCATTTGGATGATTAAAACAGATAGCACAATTGTGAAATTGAGATAAAAAAAACTAACGTTAAATGAAAGAATAAGCATCAAAAAAAGATTTTCAAAGGCTGGAACAATAAATTTAACAGGAATAAATGCAAAGTCCTACACTTATATGAAAAAAAAATTTAACCGTTCAAACTTAATACAAAATGAAGGCAATATGACTAGAAAACATATGTGAAAAAGGCATCTAATAGCATAAAATGTTATATTTGTCACTAGTGTGGTGTGGTATCAATGTGATCTTGAGGTATATTAATTTAAATAGAGCAACATCCTATAATGAGGAAGAGGAAAATAACCAAGATGGTGAAGGGATTCAAAATCGTGCCATATGAAGACTGGTTCCAAATGCCTACTGGAAATCTCATACTGGATGTCCCATAGACATCTCAAACTCAACCTGTCCAAAACTAAACTCACCATCTTTTCTCAAAAGAAAAAAAAAAAGTCGTCGTCCCCCCAACCTCTACTGAGAGCAATGCTGAGGGCACTATCATCCTCCCAGACACCCAGACTCACAACCTAGGGTCATCTTCAACTCCAAACTCTCTTCTCACCCCTATATCCAATTTATTGCCAAGTCCTGTTGATTATACCTTCACAGCATCTCCATGTTTCCATCTTCTCTCTTCTGACATTGCCACCACGCTGGTACAGGCCCTCATCACCTAATGCCTAGACTACTGCCTTAGTCTTCTGGCTGGTCTCCCTGTTTCAAGTATCTCTCCACTCCAGTTCACCTTCCTCTTAGCTTAGCTATCCAAGTGATCTTCCAAAGCTCAGGTCCCACAACTGACACGGTCAACAACTCCCACCCTCCATTCAATAAACTTCAGTGGCCCCCTATTATCTCCAGTATCAAATATAAAATTCTAAACAAACCCTTTATAACTGGACCCCTTCTTTTCTACCTTCCAGTCTCCTTAAACTTTACTTCCCTACATGTACTTTATGATACAGTGACACTGATCTCTTTGTTGTTCCTCACTTGCCAGAAATGTTCTTCCTCCTTATCTCAAACTCCTGACTTCCCTGACCTTCTTCAAAGCTCAGCTAAAGTCCCGCTTTCCTTATGCAAGACTTGTCCAACTCCCTTAATGCTAGTGCCTTTCCTCTAAGATTAACTCCAATTTATCCTGTATCAATCTTATTTGTATAACTGTTTGCATGCTGTCTCTCTCATTAGAATAGAAAATCTTTTAAAATCTCTGAGTTTTGAACTGGTTTTGTCTTTCTTTGTATCCCCAATGATTAGAAGAGTGCCTAGCATGTGGTAAAGAGCAGATAAATATTGACGGTCTGAATAGTTGAAGAAACTACACCTATTTAGCTGGAAAAAAGAAGACAGAAAGGGAAAAGACTTTTCAAGTATTTGAAGGTTATAACATGGAAGGATTAGACTTCTGCTTGACTAGGAGGACAGAAGTGAGCCCAGAGTAGAAGTTACAATAAGATTAATTTGGAAAAACATCCTAAAAAGTAGGACGGCACAAAACAAAATGGACAAATTTGGGAGAAGAGTTAGCTGCCCATCTCTGGAAATGTTAAAGATGAGGCATATTTAGATGAGATTCATGATCTGGGTAGTTGGATTAGATGACCTGGAGACTCCTTTTAACTGTTAAGATTTCTATTTGGAAAGCAAGGAGGTCCTGCTAACTATACTGAGAAATATTGTTGGCTTCCTCAATACCTGAAAAGATCTATAGTTTCATTTATATGGGTATTCCTAAAACTGAAACAAACTGCAACAACTCCACAGTTGTCATAAATTGCTGTGGCCAAAAAGAATTTGTCAACCTTTGGCCATTCCTCATGTGATAAGCCTGTAGATATTGGTTTAATCTCAAAGCCTTTCCAGGTTGACAGGATGCGGCAGGTTCCATTTAGCCTTTGAGTACCCAGGGTCACCTACAAAGTAAAAGACACTGGAATAGGCCTTTAGTAGAGGTAAATGATTATAGAAAAAAATTCTTTAAAAATTATAATGGCATTCATAATCCAAAAACATGCCACAAACTAGAACTGATTTTGCGATATAAAAAGAGAATCAGAAATAATGCTATTATTAACCAACTTCTTTTTTTTCCTGATGACTTACCAGTACACCTGCTACCACAGATGCAACTGCATTTCTTCTCTCACTCCAATCAATGCATTCACATTCTGGCCACCGAAAATTATCTAGGAAGCCTGCCATTTCTATTTCTTTTGCACGGATTTTTCATTAGATGCCAAATCTTAGAAACAAAGAAGGAAAGAAATCAATCCCACAAAGAATGTAAAAGAATGCTCTTTAAAATGTATTTTTTTCAAATTATACGTAAAAACAATTTTTAACTTTCATTTTTTAAAACTTTCCCCAAATTCTCACCCTCCCTCACCTCTCCCATTCCTGAGAGGCAAGCAATTAGATACAGATTAGATACATGTGCAGTCATACAAAACATATTTCTATATTAGCCATGTTGCAAAAGAAAACACACACATGCAAAAAAAATCAAAATAAAAATAAAATTTTTAAAAAAAGTATGCTTTGATCTACATTCCTTCTCTGGAGGTAGATGGGATTTTTCATCTTAAGTCCTTCAGAATTGTCTTGGATCACTGTAATGCTAAGAATAGCTAAGTCATTCATAACTGATCATCACACACTAATTGCTGTTACTACATAAAATGTTTTCCTGGTTCTGCTTACTTCATTTTGCATCAGTTCATGTAAGTCCCGGTTTTTCTGAAACCAACCTACTCATCATTTCTTTTAGCACAATCATATTCTATCACAATCACATACCACAACTCATTCTGCCATTTCCCAATTGACAGGTATCACATCAATTTCCAATTCTTTGTCATTACAAAAAAAAAGCTGTTAAAAAATATTTTTGTACAAAATGATCTTTTCCCTTTTTTATGATCTCTCTGGCATACAGACCTACTAGTGATGTTGCTGGATCAAAGATCATAATGGATCATAAGCAATCAGATCATAAGCAATCTTACAGTCCTTCAGGCATAGTCCCAAATTGTGCTTCAGAATGGTTGGATCAGTTCACAATTCCACTAATCCTGCATTGGCGTCCCATTTTCCCCACATCCCCTCCAACATTTGATATTTTCCTTTTCTGTCATCTTACCCAATCTGATAGCTGTGAGAGGTAAGTACCTCAGAGTTGTTTTAATTTGCATTTCTCTGATCAATAGTGATTTAGAGCATTTTTTCATGATTTTAGCTTTGGTTTCTTCTTCTGAAAACTTCCTGTTCATATCCTTTGACCATTTATCAACTGAGGAATGATTTGTATTCTTATAAATTTGACTCAGTTCTCTATATACTTGAGAAATGAGGCCTCTATCAGAGAACCTTGCTGTAAAAAATTTTCCCAGTTTTCCATAAAAAAATACTTTGTGGTTTTAGCTCTTATATCGTGTTCCTATTATTTTTGTTTTGGTTTGGTTTTTGCTTTGTTTTTTTGCTTAGACAATCGGGGTTAAGTGACTTGCCCAAGGTCATACAGCCAGTAAGTATCAACTGTCTGAGGCCAGAACTTGTTCGTATTATTAAATAATAATTTGAGTTAAATCAGAGATCACAACATAAGAAAGATGTCACACATGTTAAATGATTATTAGAACCAATACTATTTTTACTATCTTTAAGAAAGAAACAGAAAATTACTTCAGGTTCTTATAGCTAGAATTTTCATGGTGAACAAAAAGAAGTTTTATAGAATGACACTCGCTTTTTAAAAATGTGTATATGACACTGTGTAGGGATACCATAATCTTACTGATTTAAAATGTTCTTGATATTATAACTGTTTAAACAGTGTAAGAATATTCATCTAAGAATGGTTGTGGGAACAAAAGAACAACTTCCAGAAACAATTAAATACCTTATTCCATTGGATTCCTAATTCATAGGATGGTATTAAGATATTATATAGGCACTGTGATTTTTAACTACAAGAATTAATGATTTTGTACATTATTCAAAATGTACCTTCAAAAGATAAGTTGGACGAACATGAAAAGAGTTTTGTAGCACCTGTCCTCTAATAACCAGATAAGCAATATCCTTAAAAGAAATGTTTAATTGGGGCAGCTAGGTGGCACAGTTGATAGAGCTCTGGCCATGGAGTCAGGAGCATCTGAATTCAAATCCGGTCTCAAACACACAACACACGACACTTATTACCTGTGTGATCCTAGGCAATTCACTTAATCCTGACTGCCTAGCAAAAAGCAAAAAAGAAAGAAGTGTTTAATTGGGGAAAAAAATGCTAATAGTCAACAAAAAGAGAGAAAAAAAGGAAAAAAATGGAAATAATTCCAATTCAACAAGCATTTATTACATTATAAGCAAGGCACTGTGCTGAGTGCTAAAGATTCAAAGAAAAAAATGAACAACAATTTACACTTAATCTATACCTCCTGCAGCAATATATGGTTAGCTACAATCAAAAGTTCCCATTCTTTTTGTATAGCAAAGCCTTGCCCCTAGAAGCTTTAAATGATATCACAAATAATCTTAGAAGAAACAATTGCAAAGCTAAATTCCCAAGCAGGTTAAAAAATATAACTAACAATCATTACACTGACTATACTTTTTTTTAATGTACAAATGCAAAGTAGATATGCAAAGGTCACAGTTAAAGCATTATTATTTTACTTTAATTTATATTTTCTTAATTATAAATAGCTCTAAGTATGTGTTTCCTTTGTCTTGTTTGCACTTATTAAGGTAACCTGAAACAGTTGACAAAGTATGTGTGGAGTCAGAAGAGATGTGAGGGCAGCTAGGTAGTATAGTGGATAGAGCTCCAGCCTAGGAATCAGGAGGACCCGAGTTCAAATTTGTCCTCAGACACTTGACACTTACTAGCTGTGTGACCCTGGGCAAGTCACTTAACCCCAACTGCCTCACTGAAAAAAAAAAAATCAGAAGAGATGTGAAATTTCAATTCTGAATGACAGTAGTAGCTGAGACAGCTGGCAGCTAGGTTGCTTAGCAAAAGAGTGCTGGGCTTGGAGTCAAGATGTGAGTTTAAATCTGACCTCGGACATTAACTAGCTGTGTGTTCCTAGGAAAAGTTATTTAACCTCTGACTGCCTCAGTTTCCTCAGCTGTAAAATGGGCATAATAAAAGTACCTACTTCCTGGGGTTGTTGTGAGGATCAAATGAGATAATATTTGTAAAGTACTTAGCACAATGCCTGACTCTTGGTAGGAGCTTAATAAATGCGTGTTCCCTTTCTCTATGTGATCATGAGTAAGTCACTTAATCTCAGAACTTGTTTTCTCATCTGTATAATAGGAATGATCACACCTATAGTACTGCCCTCAAAGGATTCTTGTGATGTGTATATATATATAGATAATAAAATTAAAAAAAAAAAAAGAAATTTGCTATCCAAAAACTAAGACCTCTGCTTCAATTTACCACTTCCACTTATGTGTTCCAATTTGTTGCACAGCTGAAAGATTTTGATGAAGCTTATAACACTATTCAATAGGAAAGTGACTATTTGATGAGCCTGCTTTCCTAAAATAATATGGCAGATAAGTTTTCAATTCATCTTTAAAAAAAAAAAGACAGAAATCTGGTTCATGAATGAAATAATCAGAGCATACCCAGATTTGTGTGGTCATGTGATCAACAAGATGTAGACCTAGACCTTTTCTCCAATCCTTACAACCTCTTAAACCTCTCTAAAACAAGAATTAAGTGCAAGATATGAAACAATTTCAGCTCCCTTCTAAAGCTGAAAAGATACTGAAAATACTATGGTAACAACTGGATGAACTAACAGCAAAAATGCTAACCCTGGGGGCATCGAGGTGGTGCAGTGAATAGAGCACCAGCCCTGAATTCAGGAGTACCTGAGTTCAAATCCAGCCTCAGACACATAACACTTACTAGCTGTGTGACCCTGGGCAAGTCACTTAATTTAACACCACTGTCTAGCAAAAAAAAAAATGCTAACCCCTACTGCACTCACTCAGCACTCCCCCCAAACTGGCCACATCTCTTGCAGGGTACAAAAGCTTTCAAAAAACTGACTCCCCCTCCCCCCACCCCACCTCCAACTTCACTTCAGAGGGTTTGCACTGCTTGGGACAGCAGCGTAGCAATGAGTTCCACTGCAACAAAGCTCAAACAGAGAATGGAGCAACAGAGGGAAGTAGGAAAAGGTGTATGTGTATGGAGTTCCATCAGCCAGAAGGAAAGGAAACTGGCATCTAGATGAGGCTAGTTCTACTCCCCTATAAGCACGAAAGTATTAAAAATTAGAGAAGAAATAAAATGGTAACCAAAAATCTATAAAAATAAAATGAATATGAAATATCATAACAATTCAGGAGGACTGTGGCTCACTGGATAGAGAACTATATCAGAGTCAAGATCAGGATACAAAGCCCATGACCCTCTGGACAAATCACTTAACCTCTCAATGCTCCCAGGCAACTATCTAATACTTTTAAAGACATAGAACAGGCACTGATACTCATAGTTAGAGACAACTTTCTTACTGAGAGTTTGGGTCCAGGTCCAAAAAATTCAGAAGGGAAAATTACTTCTTACCTCCTCCTCATCAAGGCTTCCTTGATCATTCCTGCCAAAACAAGCCTCGGCCTCAAAAGATGAGAATTTAGACAGGTAAAGAAAACAGAATTATGTGGACAAAGGTTTGGAGTCAAGAACTTGAAATGTATGTCGACTAAAACAACTCAGTCTGGCTAGAATGTAGAGCTCAAATAAATAAAGGAACAGTGCTGGATAAGGGTTATATAAATTAAAGTTAGATTTTGAGGAGCCTTGGTAGCCAGGCTAAGGAGCTTGGTTTTTCTCACAAATGCATACAATTCAAGAGCTACACAAGGCTCTTGAACAGTGGAGTGACACAGAGCAGAGTGATATTTTTGGAAGAATAAACTGGTTAAGTGTCCAGGATGGATTTAGAAACAGGAAGATTGGGGGCAGCTAAGTGGCACAGTGGATAGAGCACCGGTCCTGAAGTCAGGAGAACCTGAGTTCAAATCCGACCTCTCACCAAACACTTAACACTTACTAGCTGTGTGACCCTGGGCAAGTCACTTAACCCCAACTGCCTAAAAAAAAAATTTAAAAATAGGAAGACTGGAAGGCAGGGAAACTAGGTGAAAGCTATTGTAACTGCAGGATAAAAGGTCCATCAGCTCACAACAGAGGTGTAAAGCACCTAACAGGCAAGTTAT